ACGCTCTCGCGTCAAGGCCGGCTCTATGCTGTCTTGTTGGCGAGACGCTGCGGGGAGAACTTGACGACCGGTGCTCGTCGCTGGTTCGTGGCTTGAGTGTGCTGTGCGACCAGCATGCTGGCTGGCRCACTATTGTCTGAGGGGTTGTTGACATGGCAGATGCCACGTGTCATCTTCGTGGCTGCTGCCACGTAGTATTGCTGCTGAGATGGAAGGCGCTGGGCGCCTGTATTGCTGTTCTGCTTGACAAGTATTCGGAAGAAGGATCCAGGACTGTGGTTTGGGTCGTGATACGTACCTGGTGTCTTCAACTTCGTCGTCACGTTGCTGCTTGATGACTGGTCTGCTGGTGCCACGTGGCACTATTGGTCTACAGTGTCTTGGATATCCGGATCTCTGATTGAGACACGATTATGAGGTTAGGAGGAGGAAGTGCCCGAGGAGGAAGTGGGCTGTAGGGAGGAGACTCTTCCACCCTCTCAAAGTCTATTCTCCCTCCTCCCTCTCTCGTCTSTGTATGTCTTCTCTCTCATTGGGAATCATTATTATTTTGATTTATCAGCAGCGTTCGTCTACTTTGTCTTTCCGAGTGACGACTGATTATCATGACTGGGCACATTGCAGGGGAATAGGAACTGGACTGTCGCTCCCCAGAATGGTAGGAGCTAGAACCAGATGGCTCTGTTTCATAAAAAAATTGACAACCTGTGCCTGGTATCCAAACCCTGCGGACCGGAACCTGCAACCACGGCTCTTCCGTAAGCTATGCTGCCAAACCTCTTGCCAGCCTGATCCTAGCTTCCTGAACTGGTTCCGGGTTGGGCCTGCCCATGGCAGCGGGCTTAGGTGGGTCCGTAGGCTGCACCGGCCCTACAGTGCCCTGTTATGCTGGTGTGGAGCACGGGTTCAGAGGAAAAGAGCGGCAGCTCAGCCATGAAGCGAACCAACGCTGCGGTCCCCTGGTATTCTGGCATGGGGCATGGGACAGGGGAAAATAGTGGCAGTTCAGCCCTGAACCTAGAAACCCAGATTAAAGTAGTAGGAGGACAAAGGACAATGGCCCTCTATGATCTCCATGAGTCTATGCCATCTAAAGGTAGTCGTCAGTTGCTAGGCTGCATGTGAAAGTTTTGGCTACAACACTATCTAACCCCTGTCTTGACTCATGGTCTCTGAGCCCCGCCAAAGTTGTTCCTAAATCCCTCTTACGAACAGCCTGTCATCCACTGTGGAATTAAGCATGAGTATGCTAAGCTTGGTGAGACTTGAGCCCTTACCTGTTATGTATCTAATTGTGACCTATGTTCGCGCTCTGTTTGTGCCATGCTATGCAGCTCCAATTTGAGAAAGAGCAGAGGAAAGTCATGGCCCAGAGGCTGTCTGAGGAGAGAAAGAAGGCAGAGAAAGCTCAGAAAGAAATCATGGAGGTGATCCCACAGCAACCTTTGTCGTTGGTACCATGGACACAATATGAACAAAGTTCAACAAACTGCAATACAGTGCATGGCATATTTTCATACAGCGACCCTAGGAACTTGGAGGGAGGGGTTGTCCTCTACATTGTGGAAGTTCGTCAGGATTTGGTCTTGATTTGTGGTTTGATGTTTGGAGAGTTCTAGGTGTGTACTGTTCTGTCCTTCGGGACATCCCTTAAAATTGGAACGATACAGAGAAGATGAGCATGGCCCCTGCACAAGGATGACACACATAAATCGAGAAATGGTCTGAATTAAAGAAAAAAAGAGAGAAAAAAAGGGTGTGTGCTGTTCATCCACCAGGCAGGTTTCTGCTGGTGAAAATAGGATGGAGTGTTTCTTTGTCTTGTTGTGTGCACATCTGGGTGGGCCTGCCACCTATGAATGTTGATCACTGGCCAACTCCTGTGTCTAAGACTCTCTTTCACTTGTTGGATACAGATTATTACAGAATCTTAAACCACCAGTATTGGTGACCCTTTGTTTTCCGAGACTAGAAATGCCCTGCATGCCCAAGAAGAACGAACAGGCACATTTTCTTTTGTGGCTGGTGGCGCCAGCCTTATGGCTCTGGAATGCCGTTCTGCAGAAGTCGCGATGCGTGCACAGCCGCATAGGAGAAAAACGGCTGGGAAACGTACTAGTTGCTTAAAATTGTCTGCCCTGCCTTTCTCCCCAGCTCATGTGCCTGAATGGTACACGTAACTGCGGTAAAACAGAGTAGGAGTTCGATACTTTGTCAGGTAGGAAGTACTATGCAAGGCGGGTCATGATATGTAGGCCAGATGATACTAGCCGCGGGGTCATAGCATGTGTGTGCTCCAGCCGCGGGGTAATCTGTGGGGTGGGCGCGTCATAGTATGTTGGCCAGATGGTACTTTGTGGGCTGGGTGGTAGCATATGGGTGCTCCAGCTGCGGGGTAATCCGTGGGGTGGGCAGTGCTTTGCAGGGCGGGTCATATTATGTGGGGAGGATGATACTGTGTTGGATTGGGCTGGATTGTTTTATGTGGGCTTGGACTTTATGGTTCTATATGGGCTCAGGCTGGATGGTACAACCTGTGCCAGGTGGTACTATGTGGGCTGAGTGGTTGCTTTACAGGCTGCATGATACTACGTGGGCTGAAACAAAAAAAAGAAAAAAAGAAAAAAGACAAATCCATGTGTGTTTCGCTGCGTACTTGTTTTTGGGTGGTTCTGCCCAACACGATGTGTAGTTAAGCATGGAAAAGCCGGAATCAAAAGAAGAAAATGCAAAAACGAATGCACGACGAGCGGAATCAAAAGGAGAAAATGCAAAAAAGCAAGCACTACGAGTTGGAATCAAAAGAAAAACTGCAGAAAAGCATGCACGACAAGTGGGAGTCAAAAGGACAAATGCGGAAACACATGCACAATGAGTGGAATCAAAAGAAAAAATGCAAAAAACATGCATGATGAGTGGGAATAAAAAGAAGAAAATGCTAAAAAGCATGCACAATAAGTGAGAATCAAAAGAAGAAAATGAAAAAGAGCATTCCTTTTCTGTGTCCGCATTCCTCCAAAACAAACTGATTCCTCTGCTCTTCAAAGCGCGTGAAACAGACTTCTTTGGGGTTGGGGTAGGGAAAGAAGAGTGCGATACTCAATGAATCAAAAGACGAACATGCAAAAAAGCATGCACGACGAGTGGGAATCAAAAGAAGAGAACGAAAAAAAACATTCCTACTGTGTCAGCACTGCTCCAAAACGAACTGATTCCTCTGTTTGGCTATGTGCGTGAAACAAACTTCTCGGAAGGAGAGGGGGGCGAGAAGAGTGCAGTGAAATGGGATACTCAATGTGAGTTGTAGAAATACCAGTACCTGGAACGCACATGGTGCCCAAGGCTTCTGCCAAGGGCACACCCGCCTGAGCAAAAAGTCCACCTCACTAAACCCGAAAGACTGCAGCATGCCTCTGGCTTCCCTGGCCTAGAGCCAGGGCTAGCTGGCTAGTTTGCCTGTTCGGCCTGTGGGACCAGGCTGTGACCTGACCCCACAGACCGTGTGTTATTCAGTCCAGTCCAGTCCTGTCCGGTACCACTGTCGGTACCAGGCCAGTCCAGTCCAATCCAGACAGTCCGCTGGGGGTATACCCCAGCTGCACTCTGTATGGTTGGTCATTCTTCATCTGCACAGTTTGGAGTACGTGCGTGCTGAGTCTGCGTCGGAGTTGCGCTGTCCCTTCCAGCTCCATCTCCATCTCCGTCAGGCCGCTGCGCGCGCACTCGCTCACGCTACCCCGCGCCGCCCTCTCCCAGATTATATATATCAAGATCTGGGAGCCATGCTGCTGCTGCCAGGGTTTGAATCTGGGCAGCTCCTGCTCATGTGTGTGCTCAGCCAGTGCTCTAGCTTGTAGCGTGGCACGTTGGTGTTGACGAGTGCCACACCAGCTATTTACCCCTCCCCCCTCCCCCCCCGTCGGTGAGCAGCAAGGAGCGAACAGCGAGCCGGGAGACTTCGGCGAGGTGCTGCTATTTATCTCCTCCCTTCCCCCCCCGACCCCCCCCCGACCATTGTGGATGCTGTTGCCTGCGGACGTGGCCACCTGCTGTGCCACATGGAAGCTTGCTGGGGGACTGAAGTTTGAAGACCGCCCTGGCTAGGGGGCTGCATAAAGTGGGATCTGGGTGGCTGATCAAGATCTCAGCTCAGCACACCCAGATTATTATTAGAGGTAAGCACGTTCATGCCACCTTTGAGTATCGAATGGGCAAAAACAACACTCATCGGCAAAGAAAACCGTGCTGACTTTGATAAGGCAACAAAAGTACTGTTGGCCATGGTGTCAGACCAGGTGTCATATTTACAGGGGTCGCCCATGGTGTCAGAGGGGGAAACAAAAAAAAGGGAAAATGCCCAACGGATACTATTGGACCGAAATTGCTCATTTCGAGTTGGTGCGTGATTTCTTTGCCGGCACGAGTTGTTTTTGCCTTTAGGGTTTCAAAACATGCCGCAACCGCCATTGTTTCTTATTATTATGATTTTACTGCTGCTGCAGCAGCGGTCTGCCAGCAGTTGAAGATCCCCCTGGCTGGGGGCTGTGCTGCTGTGGAATAAGGGTGGCTGATCAAGATCTCAGCCAACCCTAGATTATTACCATCATTATTATTTATTGTTTCTATTGCTGCGGCAACAGGCTGCCAGCACCTTGAAGGCCAAGATCCTGTGGATCTTGGTAGTACTATCTGCTCTTGGCCAACCAAGAGATGGTATCAACTCTCTTCCACTAACCCACTCTCCCACTCCCTCTCTCTCTCTCTCCCCACCATCCTCTAATCATCTTTTCTAATCCTACCACTAATATCTCACCCTCTCTCGCTTCTCTCCTTTTTTCTTCCCTTCTCTCCCCACCTACCCACTGCTTTCTCATATCCCTCTCTCCTCACCCGTCTTCCACCATCCTTTTCTCTCCTCTTCTCCCCCGTTACCTTCTCCTACTAATCCGTTATTTTGCTCTCCACCTTTTCTACCCCTTTTTCTCCCATTCCCGTTATTTTGCTCTCCACCTCAAATCTTATCATCCCCCTGCATCTCTACCATCGCAAAATCTCTCTATTTCTCACCTCTTTTCTCACCCTTCCGTCCCCAACTTCGATTTTCTTTTTTATACCTAGGTAAGCATATCCACCACCCGGTAAGAGGTACCTCAGCGTACGATCACGCACTATCTATTGTGTAGGGGGTTGAGCAATTCCGAAAGATGCTTCGATTTGCCATAACCAGGTTCATCTCGTAAAACAATAGTGAACTCGAACAAGCATTTTTTTTTCTCTTTTTCTTTTTCTCTTCTTTTGTGTTCCTCCTTGATTTCATTTTCTTCTAAAAAAATTGAATTAGCTTCTTTACCTCCTTTTTGAGGCTTTTTTCTCATTTTTCTGATTTATTTTTTATTTTATTTTATTTATTCTGAAAATTCGAATTTCTCTGCGGGCACCCTTATATCTTGTTAGGGCAGTCTTTTTGCTGTCGACGTACATTTTTACCCCTTGGGGGTAACGAAGTGCTGTCAAAATTTTCTCTTTTTGTACTGCCTTTTCTCCCAGCACATTTTGACCCCTTGGGGGGTAGCAGAGTGCTGGCAATCTTTTTCAATTTTACTTGATCATTTTTTTGATGGCACACTTCGACCCCATGGGGGTAATGAAATGCTGCCAAAATTTTTGAAAAATCCAAAACTTAGTCTTCTCTTCACTCTCCTGCACCTCCTTATTTATTTATTTATTTTTCAGATTATTTTTCTCTTTTTTTTCTTTTTTTTCTTTTTGTTTGATTTATTCTGAAAATTCGAATTTCTCTGCGGCACCCTTGTATCTTGTTAGGACAGTCTTTTTGCTGTCGACGCACATTTTGACCCCTTGGGGGTAACGAAGTGTTGTCAAAATTTTCTCTTTTTCTATTGTCTTTTCTCCCAGCACATTTTGACCCCTTGGGGGTAGCGACGTGCAGGCAATTTTTTAAAATTTTACTTGGTCATTTTCTTGACGACACACTTCAACCCCATGCGGGTAATGAAATGCTGCCGAAATTTTGAAAAATCCAAAACTTAGTCTTCTCTTCACTCTCCTCCACTTTCTCATTTATTTATTAATTTTTCTGAAAATTTCAATTTGCGGTATTTTGAAAGTTAGTGTGCTTCCTTTGGTAATTCCTCTTCGCATGGCACATTTTGACCGATAAGGGGTGGAAAAGTGTTGCTTAAAATTCCAAAAAAATAAATATTCCTTTTTTTTTTACCCTTTTGCTTATATCTTTATTTTTTTATTTTTGCTATTTATTTTATTTTATTTTTATCTTGAAGTTGTACTATATATTCATTTTTCCTTTCCCCTTCCCTCCATGGTTGTTACTCTCTCTCATTGATTAGGTTGTTACTACTCCACCCTAACCGCCCCCAAAGCCTGGTTATAGTTTTCTCAAGGGTTTTCTAGGGTTTAGGGTTCTACTAACCCCGTCCTTTCCCGGAGCCTCCCATCAGGCACGCTGGACCTGAACGGATCCTTTTTCGTCGACCGGGTCCGTGCAACCATCACACGAGGGGCCCGTCGACTCCGGGGCGAGCCGACTCACAACTACCCACTCCGCTCCCGCAGTCCCCTCCCTCTCACTAGTGGGCGTCTTTCACAACACAGCAGCCCACCTCTTTCCCGACTTGTCTCTCCACCTCCAGCCATGCCTACCCCCATCCCTCCACCGTACTTGGACGAGAGTACACCCGAGAAGATCGCGGCACCTTCCACCTCTCAGACACCCGTTCAGCTAGCGGCACAGGCTCTAGCCCCTATGAATCTCGAGACCGTCCTTCGCGGCCCTCCTCGCACCAGTAAGCCCACCTCGATACGCCTGCACCCATACAGGCGCAACTCAATGCGCACGCCCTTGACGACCACCGCCTCAAGGGTTCTCATTGATCCCCTGATCGCATTGTCGAATTCAACATCCTGCATTCAAATCGATTAGGCCTTTCCTCTGCATCTTCTCCCCTCCGAATTAGGACTTCTCCTACCGTCGTAGGTCCTCAGTCGGTATCAAGGATGAACAGTTGCCCCACCTCGTCATTAAGGCATGGGGCGACTAGGATGACCTGATTCGAAATCAGGATGTCTTTTAGCATTTGGGTAGCCATCTCCCGCCCCTCAGTCCAGTCCATGGTTCCTTCCTCCCGAATCATGGCCCGGATAGGTTCCGCTATATTAGCAAATCCAGATATAAAGATCCTCCAAAATCCAACAACCCCTAAGAAGGCCCTCACCTCGGTCATCATCCTCAATTGCATCGGCCATTGAGAGATTTTATCAGTTTTGGATGGATGGGGCCTCTTCCGTACCACCCGCAGCGAGATCCCAGAATGGTTACCTCCGGGACAACTGTAATGCTCTTTGGTCCTTTCAGTTCCATCTCCATCTCCTTCATCCTCATCCCTTTGTCTTGATCCTGATGAACTGCCATCCAGGCCGGTCCATCACACGAAAGACTTTGGTTTGGAATGATCAGAAAGGTTACTAACTATCTGGGTCGTTTGGAAAAATGTCTGCCCTCGAAAATTTCGTGAACAAAGAATGCAGGCTCATAATACAAACATAAAAATAAAAAAAAACAGGCAAAAAAAAGCGAAAAAAGAAACTCAAAAGCATAACAAAACTAGGCTGGTCCCCGGGCCGCCCGACGACCTGGTCGTCGCCCAGGGGGGCGGGGGGGGGGCGGGCCACCAGGCCGGCTGTCCCGCTCGGTTGGCAACTGGGCGACTGCAGCGCATCGCAGAAGGGGGCGGGGTTTCGTTCGATTTCGACGTCGGGGGGCTTTCCCGCCCCACAGGAGGCCCTCTAGGCCGAAGGAGGAAAAAAAACAGGGCCGGTAGGCCCTCCTTCTCGAATTCGAAATCTTGGCCTATATGCACTGTCGATCTCCAAGATCGACGGCCCAGATGGGCCAAGATTTCGAATTCGAGAAGGCGGGAACTACCGGCCCTCATCCACTCCCCCGTTACCCCTACCGCTTGACGGCTCCCTTCGGCAGTGTCGATCGTTGACGGCAGCTCCGCCAATGACCGCCAACGCCCGCTGACGCCCCCCGACGCCCCCCGACGCCCACCATCGCGTGTCACCTTGCTATCGCGCCGAGGTAAGTGGGTTAGTAGTTGTAGTAGTAGAAGTAGTAGAGAGAGAGAGAGAGAGAGAGAGAGAGAGAGAGAGAGAGAGAGAGAGAGAGAGAGAGAGAGAGAGAGAGAGAGAGAGAGAGAGAGAGA